ATAAAAATATATTTTTAAAAATACAAATTGGCCCGTGGGAACCATTGAATGATTAAGTTATGACAAAACATATGACAGGGCTGGCACTTGGGTAGGACTCACTCTGGGTTAGCATCCATTTCCCATTTTCTTCATCATCATCATATCATCATCTGTTTAGAGAGTGAAAGATGAATTAAGGTGCTACTGCTCTCATTCAGCAAACAAATAATGAGACCGAGATCTAGCAAAACTGCCCCGAGTATTAACCGTGGATGTAATCTGTCTTCACTAAAATTATGTAAGGCGCGTCCCGTAGATGCCCCGTTTCACACGGAGGGTCAGACTGATGGCGCTTGGAGACGAGCTGCGAGGGGCCTCCCGCCCACACCTGTGTCCAGGGCCAGGTGCCGTGACGGGTGACGGGGACCTGGGTCTGCAGCAGCTGCGGTGTTCCAGATGTGCCTCGGGTTCTGATGGTCGTGTCACAGCTGCATCTGGGCCCCCTGGGAAGCATCAGAATCAGAAAGGCCCCCCCCCCCCCGATCCAGGGGCAGACAGCAGGTGTGGCGTCTGTGATGAGCTGGTCTCGGACGGTGCAAGTCATTGCATCATTGCACCAAGTGATGGAAGACGTTTGTTACGACAAAAGCTGACTCATTTCCAGACCTTGAATGGGGCTGGGCTGAGCTGAGCCCACCTGGGGACTAAGGGAGAAGGTGGAGTTCACCGTGTCTGAGAGAATGTGTTTCTGAAGTAACGGCACAGAGAAAGCAGCCGGCCGGGCGAACGAAGCCCAGTGTCCCTCTGCACTGTTTTTAAAGTCCGTCTCAGAGCATCGAATGCATGTGTGTTTATTATAGAAATCTGTTTGCATCGTCTTCTTTAATAATCAAAAAGCAGATGGGTGCTCAGCCATGCCTGGTGGGGACTCGTGTTTCTGAAGTAACGGCACAGAGAAAGCAGCCGGCAGGGCGAACGAAGCCCAGTGTCCCTCTGCACTGTTTTTAAAGTCCGTCTCAGAGCATCGAATGCATGTGTGTTTATTATAGAAATCTGTTTGCATCGTCTTCTTTAATAATCAAAAAGCAGATGGGTGCTCAGACATGCCTGGTGGGGACTGGGTCCCCTGTACCAGGAGGCTCAGTCCCTGTGTTCCCTGGGGACACACCTCAGGCGCTGTCCGCGCCGCTGGTGCTGAAACCAGCAGCTGGGCTGTCGCAGGCTCAGGATTAGACACACCCTGAGGACTCTTTCCCAGCCTCCGACTCTGAGACACACTGGTTGGCTGCACCCAGATTGTTCCTCCCCGAGATGACCTTGTGAGCACCTGGCCCAGGTCCCTCCCGCCTGAGAGGAGGCCCAGGGCTCTCTGGCCGGTCACGGAGAGAGAAGATGCTGGAGGCTGAGGCTGCCTTCTCGGCCTCCTTCCTCCCGGATGGAGAGGCCCGGCCTGGAGGACTTCCCTGAGCAACGCTGTCAGGGCTGCCTCTGGACTGTCTCTCCGATTGCTGGTCTGTCCGAGCCATTTCCAGGCTCCGTTCCCAGCGATTCCCTGATGTCGGGTCCTTACGCTTCAGAGGACAGGATCTGTCACGTTCCCTCCAAGGGGTCCTCTACTCGACCTTCGGGTCCAGCCCAGTTTGCTGAGTTCCGGGCATGGCTGTGACCCACGCTCAATCCCGCTGGTCCGCCTTTTGTCTGTAGGGTCCACGGTCCTGCTCCGGCCCGGTCCCTGGCATGACCCGTTCTCACTGTCCAAGGGCGTCCCGCTCACCGTTCAGGCTCCATGGATGGCAGATCCCAGCCACTTGGCGTTCACACTCACCAGTGGAAACACTGGTGGGAAATCGCATCCACAAAGAGATCGGGTGGCCTTGTCTTAACCGTCCAACCTTGTCTAGTCTCAGGGCTCGCTGATGTTCCATAGATCACACTGGGAGCAAAGCATCATGGGGCCAGGATGCTTAATTCTACCGAGATGCTCACACGAGGAAGCTCTTTGGAGGGACATCAGTGCAGCAGCTTTGAAATTCGGGAAGCATTTACACAGGCAAACTGAGTCCCAGGGCTCTGGTGGAAGCGCCTCACGACACAGTCATGGGAGCACGAACTTGTAAGTCGGTTGAGGGGGCACTGGAGTCCTGTGTCTTGGTTTTGTCTAGAACGGGCACTGAGAGGGAAGGCAGGAGTGGTTGGCCGCAGCAGGCCGTGTCTTTAGTGTCTTCACTCCCCCGCCTCTTCAGGGAGGTGACAGAGCGACTGGGGTGTTTACAGGAGGGGAGGGTTTGTCATGGGCGTCCCCAACGGCAACCACCGCTCTTCAACGGCAACCCTGTCCCATCTCGGCCGACCTGACCTGTCACGGCTCAGCTCTCCCATTGCCTGCTGGGCCTTCCGCCTGCGGAAACAAGGGCACATGTGGGTGCTGACAGGGGTCTGAATTCCCCTTTGAAGACACTTGTCCTGCGAGTCTCTAGCCCGTGGGCAGTCTGCTCGGTTAGGCTGTGGGCACTTGGTGCTTGAGGGGGCTGCTCCATGTTAGGATGGGGCCCGGTGCTTGGTGTCGGCTGGATTGCACTGTGCTTATGGGGTGGGTGTCCGAGCTGCAGAGCGGGTGTGAGTGGAGAGGGCAGGGAGCTAAGGCATGAGAGGGGGCTTCCTGGTCTCCATTGTGCAAGACATTTAAGGACAAGGAGCACCCAGGATTTATGGCAATTTCCTAAACACGGGAGAAGTCGGCCTTATTGTCAGGAAGGGTTCCAGCGCAGCTCTCCCCAGCGTGGCGAGGGTTTCTAAACACAGTTTGGAAAGTGGTCTCGGCAAGTTGACTCAGTAGCTCCCGGTCACATAAGCAAGTGCAGGAGCAGGGATGTTCCGGGCGGTGTGCTCCGCCTGACACTCCCGGCGAGACAGGGAGGCTGAGCCAGGTCTGGAGAAGGGAGGGTCACGGGCGGTGTGCACAGACCCTGAGGGGACACAGGGCTATGGGAGGGGCTGGACCGACTGGCCTGCCGTTTTGGCCCATCGAGGTCCTCTTAGCGGGCGTGCCGTGAGCCCGGTGCCCAATTCCACCGCTGCCAGAAGGAAACCCTTGCTGAACCGTTAAAGGAAACGAACTGGCCCGTATTCATGAGCTTCACTGGGCAGACTCGGGAAACGCACGCGGGAATATGGTCCCCTTCGAGCCTCCACGGGCGGCTGGGTTTCCGCTGCCCGCCCGGCGACATGGGGTTCCCGACCCAGTTTGAGGGGCTCCAGAAATGAACCGCATCTGAGGCCCCTCCCTTTCCAGCCAGTTACTGAGACGTGTCTTTCCCTCACCCGCCTCCTTTCCTTTCAGTCCAAATGCCTTTGATTCGCCCAATTTCACCAGCTCATTGTCCTTGGTGTCTATACGTTGATTATTTAAATAGTCAGTTGGTTTGGCTCAGTGGATAGAGCATTGGCCTGTAGACAGAAGGGTCCTGGGTTCAGTTCTGGTCAGGGCACATGCCCGGGTTGCGGGCTCGATCCCTGGGAGTGGGCATGCAGGAGGCAGCCGGTCCATGATTGTCTCTCATCATTGATGCTTCTGTCTCTCTCTCCCTCTCTGAAATCAATAAAATATATATTTTAAATAATAACAAATAGTCAGTGTCTCGTGCACGAACAGGCCCAGATTCCCGGTCCTGCATTTCCTCTTTTCTCTCTAAAATGGTCTGCGTCATGCCCATGCCCATGCTCATGATTCCTGTTCGTTCTCCACTGTGGCCTGTGGCAGCTCTCACTGCTAAAGCCGTTTCAGAAAACCAGGGCCCAGACTAAAGGCCGCGCAGCGAGGACTGTGGAGGCGCCAGGCCCTCTGCTCCCCACACCTCCCTTCTTCTGCCTCCTCCTCCTACCTTTGAGGTTCGTTCTGATTACATCGGGCCCTCTGATAAACAGGGCAATCTCTCCATCACAAGATCTGTCACTTGGTCACACCTTCCAGGAGGCCTTTTCCACATGAGGTGACGTCACCGCAGGTTCTGAGAGGAGGCCAGACACTTCCATGGGAGGAGGCATTTCCACGAAGGTGTTCAGTGATTCTAAAAAAAAAATATATAT